GTTGGGACAGGCCTTTTCTTTCTAGGGACTTGACAGAAAATGAGAAAAAGAATTTCTTAGGAAGTATAGACAGCCTTCAGCTGTAGGAAGGGAGCTATTTAACCTCAAATGTCCTTAGAAACATGCAGCTTCTATTGAATTAATCGGTTCTTTAGAAGCTACGAAAACTGCTCCTACTGCTGCTGGACACAAAGATGCCTGTCAGTTTAGAAATACCTGAATTATAAGATTATTTCAACCCCTTATAAATGCAGTAGAGTTTCTAAAGTGATGTCTTAGAGTACTGTCAGAAAATCACGTTTTTTATCTTAACTGGTTGATATATAACTGCACAGTGCTGCTTATGTGGATTTTAAATCTAGATGCTGTTTCTGCTTATTGTTTTTTTTGTAATAATCTGTAATTTAATCATACGCTGCTTATGTGGATTTTAAATCTAGATGCTGCTTCTGCTTATTGTTTTATTGTAATAATCTGTAATTTAATCATACAAAATCAAATCATGCATTATTTTCCAGTAGTTTTATCTTAGTGTTAAAATTTCCATTCTGTGCCATGGATGACTGACACTTTATGTGGTAACTCGTGCTGCCCTCCCGGATTTCCCACTTCCCACTTAAATTCCACGCTTGAGGACTGAGCAAAATGGCTGCAGGCGGTTTGGCAGGATTTCCATTAAACTAAATGGTGAATTTCTACACTACGTTTGTGTGTAGAAATGAAACGATTCAAGCATTAACATAGCTCTTGAGTTCTGCATTTGAGCATCAGCAGGAGTGATGTTCAAATATTCTATATTTAAGCATGAGCAGGATAAATTCTCTTTAGTAGACAGAGGGATTTGGCTGCCAGAAGTGTATCAGGGATCACAGCTGGTGCTAAACGGTCGCTGCATTTTGGGCTGTCTGCAGATATGGGCTGCCGTATTTGCCTGCTCATCATAACATCATAGCATCTCTGTTGGCTTGAGGTGGAAGACAAAATATGGCAGCCTTTCCACCTCTGAGGTGCTTTGCTTCATCGGAGTTGGGCTCCTGTGATGGAAACCCTTCCACCTCCTCACTTCATCCAGAGAGATGTTTGCTGTGTTACCTGCTTGTGGCTTTGTTTACAACAGATTGCACTTCTCTCTTCTAGATGATTGCACCACCTGAACGTAAATACTCTGTCTGGATTGGAGGTTCCATATTGGCATCTCTGTCCACTTTTCAGCAAATGTGGATCAGTAAAGATGAATATGAGGAAGCTGGTCCCTCTATTGTCCATCGCAAGTGCTTTTGACTTCTTCCATCATGTTCTGTCAGTGATAAGTACCGCCGTTTCTCTACACATCACCTGCCCTCGTTCGCCTCGGAGGGTGGCATGGTTTTCTTCCACATGTCAAAAACCACACTGTCTGGATGACATTCGAATTAGTGAACCACTTGTAATTTTTTTCATGCTAAAATGAGACTAACATTTCATTGATGGGTATTTTCCAGAATTAATAATGGTAGTTACACTGTACATTTTTATAGACCTCCATCCAGGAGGTGCCACACAATGCTACTGGGTCTCAGTCCCTGCTAATAGATGGGAAGTCTGCAATATGCACGAGTGATTCTTTCAAACTCAAACATAATGCAAGATTTAGGTACCAGAGAAGGCTTATTTTATGCAGTTAAGTGGTACACAGGGTTCTTCTAAGGGGATACAGTGGATTTAGGAGGGTACCAACGTGCACTCTGCTTCCAGCAGAGCTTCTATGGACCTTTCCTTGGTATCCTGCAGTTGTTTGGCAGGAGACTTTTGTCTCCCTGTGCCCACTGCTCCCCCTCAGTAAGGGGCTTCAACAAGCTACGGTACTTCTGAACTTACCCATAACAGGTTAATTTATTAGATGTTTTATAGCTTTCTTCACCCTCTTCCTAAGCAGTTAACTGATATTTCATTTGGTATCCTGCAGTTGTTTGGCAGGAGATTTGTCTCCCTGTGCCCACCACTCCCCCTCAGTAAGGAGCTTCAACAAGCTACGGTACTTCTGAACTTACCCATAACAGGTTAATTTATTGGATGTTTTATAGCTTTATTCACCCTCTTCCTAAGCAGTTAACTGATATCTCATTTACTTTTGCTATATATGCTATATTTTTTGCTATATATTAATTTTGCTAGGCTAAGATAAGCTAATGATTACAGAGTAAATAGTAACCCCTTGGAAATGTTATTGAAATGCTCTGGGTTTAATGGATTAATAAAAGTGTAATTATCCATGTAAGGCTGCTGTGGCTTACATTAATTTCATAGTGACTAGTTTATCTGTTAATGATAAAATAATAATTACTAATTTGTATTTTAATTTTATTACGAAAAAGGTTTCATTGCCTCTGAGTTTTCTAGCTAAGCAATTTTAAAATGAAAACAGAATTGTGTCACAGTTTCTATTTAAAAAAAAATAATCTTCTAAGCAATTTTAAAATGAAAACAGAATTGTTTCACAGTTTCTATTTAAAAAAAAAAATAATCTCCCCGGATGACAATTTTTTTTATAATGGTCTATGTGAAGATTAGAGTCAGCTGTGAAGATTCTGCTGTTTCAGGTAGCAGGAAAATGGGATTCTGGATGCTGTGGAGTTTGAATTGACGTGATGTCAAGCTTGACAAGCGTTTCATGATTTAAATCAAACCTGTCGAGTTCTTGTCAGTAAACACAATATCCTCTTTCCAGAGATGTGGAAAAGGTATGAGCTGGATTTACGGTTTTCTGAAAATGCATCTAGGGGATCTTTTAAAGAATCTTCTCATTGCTGTGAGTTCTAGCTCAGAGGGATCTCAGTTCCTTATCCAAATGATCTCTTGATGGGAAGATGGAAAGACGAATAAGGGAAGGACTCTTCAAAGGTACCTCATAACTACAAAAGATTGACCATGTTTGATCAGCAGTGAGTTCAAATTGCCAGTATCTGTGTCTTCTCAAGCAAATGTAAATCGTTGCAAATTTCTCAGCTTCTGAATGAATTTTACTTTAAGTTTATTATCTTGGTCTAAGCTTATATGATTTCTTGCTGCTTAAGTTGATAACAAATCACCTCAGGTAAATGAATAGCACCGTTAACTGGCCTTATCGCCTGCCTAAGTATCATCACTTACATCTTAATCTTGACCTCTTGTAGGTGTGATGTTCAAGAGGATAAACCTAGATACTCAGATCTCTGGAACCAAATTACACGTCCAATCCCCTGTAGTATCAAAGCAAAATTTTATTCAATTTGCTAATAATCTACTTGTGCCTGTTTAAATATTAAAAAAGAACAGATCTTCAGGTTTTCAGTTCATTTTATTTTTAATATATCCTTTTAGTATATGCTTACAGCTTGTTAACCTGGAAAAAAAAAAGAAATTGTTTTATAGTGTCTATTTTTTTGTCAGTGGCAAGGGAGATACACGTGTACGGCATTTGCATATAACTGAAAGAGTTCTTTGGGCTTTTCGTCTTCCCTCCCTTCCTCGGGTCTCCTCCTCTCCTTCTCCACAACAAAATCCTCTTCAGTCCTTGGTTGGCATCTCTAGCTCCTGGCACAGCTGGGGCTGGGACGTGAGCTCTCAGTGGCTACAATAGGAATCCTCATCCCGCAGCTGACTCCTTTCTCCGTGTAGAAGAGCATGATTAGGCTCTGAATACCCCCCTAACAATCTGCATGTGGAATCTTATTCAAAATTAACATGCATTTTGAAATAGAATTAATTATGTGCTAAGAGCAAATACAGATAAAAATAAGTAAAAACTATTAAGCTGTTTGTGTCGTTTGGCAAACCTCTGCTTCTCTGAGAGGAAATTGCCGTAGCCTCCGTGCAAGTTCTGCTTTTCTATATGTGGTTGTACAGAACACTGTAGTGGTTGGAACCAAGAGTAGGGAATACCCATAACCAAGAAAATAGTTCAAGGTTTTCTCCAAACACTCACCTGATGTTCCCACCTACTCCTTGGTTACCATTTCACTTCAAGATTATCTGTAAAACCATGGAGGTGTTAACGTTGAGACTCAGTCATACCTGTACATGCCTTGCTCTTATGTAGAAAACCAGTATGGCAGATGATAAGTATCCTAAATTTGAAAGAACTTCTACAGATCATGTCTGTGTAATATCACCAGTGCCAAACATTCAGAAGTCATCTGGTTAATGGCTTTGCATTTCAGTTTTCAAATTTAGTAGGGTTTCCATGCTTAATATTCACTCAGGTTTTCTTCCCTACAGCCATACAGGCCATAAATACCTTCTTTAAAAAATAAACCAACCAAATTTCTCTCTACTTTAGAAGTTAGGATTCAGAAGACACCTCCCCACAGAGAAATAATGCATCTTGAGGTTCATGATAAATCATGGCTTTACCATATCATATCAAGTAGACCTCATGGGCAGAGGTAGTCCAGAAATTTTTAATTGTAAGAGCAAAGGAGATTCACAGAGAAAGAAGAAAGATGGTCTTCTGCAATGGAACTTTTAGGTAAGAGCTGTTGGTATTTTTAATATTCTGTAAATAACATCAGCTTGCAGATGAGGCTCTCTAAAGGTAAGAACACTCTAACACATAAGAACACTTTATTCTCAGAAACGTGAGACAGAAATTCAAAGACTACAAATAACTCTTTGTACGGCTAAGGGCAATCTACTTGATTTAGGCCGTGATGATGATTTGGTCACCTTTTTTCTAAAGAGCAGGTAGGCTCTTACCAAGTGAATTTGCTTCTCTATTTTACTTCCAGGTAAATGTATCAAGACTGTCTAACTAGAAGTTATCTTAAATCATGAAAACATTTGTGTCTTTGGAGCAGAAAGTGAGAATTGCTGTTATAAACTGTCAAGGTGGAAGGAAACAACAGCTTGCTCTGTACAGGCCAAGAGTGTGTCATATCTTCCCCTGCACACAAAGTGATGCAAAGGAAGCGTGATGTTGGTCCAAATTTGTGGCTGTTGTGGAAATAGCATCTTGCAACAGAAATACTAACAAAAATGTCTGTTCTTCACCAGTTTTTTCTAGTTATGAATATGTAAACTGGTCTGCGTTAGGAGTGGGCCTTTTCCTGCTGGCCAAAGCTGTCCAGTGGGGAGCATAAGGTAAAGGGCCAGGACCTACCGCTCTTCCCAAAGGAGAATCCTCAGCTACATTTGGATGGTTTGGGCAAAGAGTCTTCTTTGTCTTCAACAGTGAGCTGTGTTCAGTCGCAGATGCTGTATCTTTGTTTTTTGAAGGTAAGATTATTTTCTTTTTCAGTATATTTGCGAGGTAAAATTCTTAAAATTCTAAACATATTGTGCTTAATGCCACATCCTTTCATTTGATGCAGATGCTGTATCTTTGTTTTTTGAAGGTAGGATTATTTTTTTTCAGTATATTTGCGAGGTAAAAATCTTAAAATTCTAAACATATTTTGCTTAATGCCACATCCTTTCATTTGACCTTTACTAATGCAGTCTTGTATCTTTTCAAAAGATACTCTGTAAGATCATTTTTGTAGCCTCTGTTCTTGGTATGTCTTCACATTCAAGACTGTTTCATAGTTTTAATGTTTCCTCTTTTTCCCTATTAAATGGTTGATTTTTGCTTCTGATCAGCTTCTCTTTCAAGCCAAAGCAATGTTTTTGTTGTTTTGGTGTTTTTTTCCCCCCTGTGGAGCAGCTCCCTAAAAACATCTTCACAACTTCAATCCTTCTAAACTTTTCTATAAAACTTGGGAAGGCGTTGATGCCTTCAAATCCTAACCATAATTAGAGGCTTGGGTGGTTTTCTATCAAATGTTGCCCAGTCTTTTGTGGACTGATATTTTTTCAGAGTGATGTTGTACTAGATATATATGGTGTCCTCATATAATGTATGAGGTTCAGCTGCTTCCAGGGCTTATTACCTGACTGTTCAAGAAGCTGTCTGCTGTGTACTTTAAAATTCTCCAGGTTTTTCTGAACTTCACGGTTGCTTCTTTTTAATTTGGTAAGAGCTGCACAATGATAAGCTTTCATTAACATTTCTCGAAATTGCATACCTGGAAACATGATAAATAATGTGTCACTTCAAAGCACCCCCTTCTCCTGTACTCCCTTTAACAAAGAAAACTTTGCCACCATCATTTAAATGTAATTTCTTCTAAAGGAGGGAAAGTCTATGTAATGTAAGAATAAGCTGATATTCCCCCTTATGCATTTATTTTTTCCAAGGGGAAATACCTTCTTTTCATAGGAATAACTTGTAGGGGAAAATACTCACTCATATGAAGGTTGCCAACTTCCATACATATTAACTGGCATAGCTGCAGGTGCTTCTGTGGACATAATTTATTAAATCCTCTGAATATTTGACATTTAGTTTTTAAGAGTGAATTCTGTATTACAAGTGTTTTCTGAGACTTCAGTCTCCTGTAACAGAACCTTTCAATTCTGCATTTCACATTGGCGATGCTTTGCTCTTTCTGAAAATGGTAAGGGATCCAAGGTGAAATGTGTCATCAGTCATGTCACAGATCTTGATGTTCGCTCATAAAATGCAAGCAGAATTTTGAAGCTTTCTTTTGGGGGGTTTTCCCTCCATTTTTGCTACAAAGTCAGATGTTGCATCTTTGGTGAAATAGTATTTTCTTGGAACTATAAGCTACGAAACTAGTAAACTTGGTATTTGGACTTTGCTGACATTCAGAGAATCTTTAAACTTTTAGAGAGTTTAGAGTCAGAGGCACGTTTTTTTAAGAAAATCCATTTTTAAAAGCAGTAGCGTTTTGGAGAGGCAAAATATATGAGCACTTGGGTAGCTCCAAAAGTCAAGGTAAATACAAGGGAAATGGAAAATCCTGAAACTAACTGTTAACCTTTAATCCAAATGATTATTGGTAATTTTAATTGGGGATGCTCAGCTTCAAAAAGCAAATGACATCTGCTTTACCTCATGCATGCAGAAGAGGAAGGGAAGAGAGAAATATGTATAGTGATGAATGCAAGTCACCTTTGTAGAAAGCTTCTTGAGGTCACTGGGGGCACCATACTTGGGGTGAACTGACCCTTTTTTCTATCTGGAAAGCTTTTAATGAAAGAGGAAAAGGACCTGATGATTTTTTACTGCAAAGGTTAATAACATAAAATACCAATGAGCATTTTATGTAAGAAGCAAAGCCTGCAGATCTTGTTACCCGGGCTTCCTGATGGTGCACTCACATCCGACGAGAGAAGTGGAAAATACTTTTGACACATTTAAAGGGTTATAGTAGACAGCATTCACATTTCTGATTCCATTTGTGGTGCACTTTTCTTGTTAATAGAAGTACAAAACACCGCAGAGGTCACCCAGGCTGTCTCCCAGCCCCGGGGAGCTTGTTGACCCACCAGACGCTGACAGATGAGAGACACACGTCTGACTGCAATGAACAGCAAGGTGAGGGCAGGATTTGGGTCCCAGTTCGTTGATTAGCAATTACTGCAACTCATTTTTTTTTGCTTGCATCAATTTTAGGTAAAGATCTTGATTTCTGTTGCAAATCTCCAGCCAGAAAATCTGGGGAGAGGCACTGGCTAAGTGTGATGGTGTGGCCCAGTCTCTATCGCATCACGGGTGGGGGACTGGTTTGCAAAGTGTTGTGTGGTGAAAATCAGCCAAATCCCTCACCTCTCTTCAGCTGGGGATTTCAGAAAACAGCAGTCCTGAGAGAAAGTAAACAAGAATCCTAACGTAGTGACAGCAAGCGATGAAAATGGCAAGCTTTGACACGAATTAAATTTGCAAAAGCAGAAGCCATGCCCAACGACATGACAAGCTAATATGGAGGAGAATGAGATTAACAAGTTGAAATATCTCTTTCCTGTTTAAGGTTAACCTCAGGCAAGAATGAGTTTGTTGGTGTAATGTCTTGTTGAATTTTAATATGGAAATGTCTCCTGGCATGTATTCCAAACACCCTACAAATAGTGATATTGATCTGACCTTCAATTAATGTGAGAGCCCTCTGCAAAAATCGGATCTGGGTTTGAATGGCAAATAGCTTTAATATTCTGGGGAGAGTGGATCATTTACAAGCCGCAGTTTGAGACTATAAATCACCAGGATTATGGCTTTTTTTTTTTATTATCATTTTAATGCAGGCTTGCTTTCCCTAGAGCAAAGGACCAAAAGTGTGGTGTATCATTTAAAAAATCGTGGAGAAGATGTCAGAAGGCACAGAGAACAAATATTGTATTTGTACAAAAGGGAGTTATTTGAAATCCATTCCTGCTCTCTGTTGCCACATTTCTCAGGTATCTGCTGTCTTCTTGGCAGTGGGCTAAAATGATCTTTAGCCTTTATACAATCCGTGGGGATCTGGCCCCATTTAATTCCCACAGAGCATCCTTGCTAATGTCCAGCCTGTGTCTCTCTTTCTCCTTGATGCAATATCCCGTATCCCATCTATCGTAAGGGACCACAAAGCATTTCCACTCACAGCTCACTGCTACCAAGATTAGCTGAGCAGTCTTGATACAGCCATATGGTTTTTAATTAAAAAAAAAAAAAGCAATTTGTATTTTTGTTTTCTTGTGACAATAATACAAATTTAATAAGGAGACCTAAATACTTTCCTGTCTCAACTGGTTTTGAAGTCTTTTTATCATCTTTATATGACCAGAGTCTCAATTATCACACAGTTTTGAAAGTACAATAACAGCTGGGAGTACCTCTGTGGCTGTATTTTAGGGAATACCTTAACTCGGGTGGGCATCAGTCCACTTTCCCTACAGATAAATTTTTTTAATAGCAGTCTTTTTCCATCTAGGCTGTTAGCAAATAATCTTTCTCAGCCATGAAGTGATATATAGTTCTGCTGAAGTTGATGCTGATATTGAGCAGTTTTCTATAGCTCATGATCCGGGGGTGAATTTTGTAGGTTTACTCTCAAATTGATTTCCCGTCTGGCCCAGAGAAAATTATGTTCTTAAAGGACTTTAAAGCCTCCTAATTAAAACAGGGAAGAATTTCAGCCAGTCATAGCCTCTGTAAAATACCCAAGCCGACACTCAACCAACTGGACCCCATGGTGTGACAGTACAACTCATAGAGCTGGTGGCGATGTAGCTGGGTTAAACCTGCTCCAAGGACATTATACCTTAAGAACCATCCTTCTCTGGCAGTCTGACCTTGGAAGCATCATTTCTGTATAATAAAAAAAATAAAATATGAAGCTGGGCTCTAGTCTGCCTGAACTTGCCCTCAAGTTCCAGACAAGGATCCTGTCTGCCCACTTTCTGCCCTTGCTTCGTCTTACCTGTGTTACTCGATGAATCTACCCAATCCTCTGCTCAAAAGGAGAAAAGATGAATTGGGTAGAGCTTTGCCATATCTTCAAGGTGAAAAAGCATGAAATAAGTGTTGAGGTCTGGGCCTGGATTTTTTTAATATTTTTTTTTAGTAAGTTATTTCTTGTACAGCAAAATATCAAAAATCTGCTTCTGATTTCTTATACAGACTTATGGTACGTAGCGGTCTGAAGGGGATGTATGGAGCTTGTCTTGAGAAAATATCACTGCTCTGGGCCTTTTCCTGCTCCCATTCCAGTTGCTGAATATTTTGCTGTTGTCCTTGGTAAGTACGAGAAGATGTGATTCTCTGAATCTGTGTGATTCTTTGACTGTGTGCAATTTCCCTGTATGGCCAACCGCTGTTAGGGCTGGTGAGGAAGGGTTCCTTATGGTAGCTCTTTCACTCGGGTAGCCTTGTAAAGAGCATTTTTGCATTGCAGGTTGCACACTAAATCAGTCACTTGGCTCTCACACAGAGTTGCTGAATTAACATGATGTGACCCAGAGATGCAAAGGGATTTCTTTCATTAAGGGTGCCGGGATGCTCGGGAGAACACAAGATGCGTTTCCTAGACAACAGCCAATGGTACTGTGTAACTGGAAGAAAGTACAAAGGCTGAAAAGGGAGTTTATGAAGAGCAGGGATCAATTTAGGGGAAAAAAAATCTGAATAGCAAAATTAAAGTTCTTTTACAAAATGTAAAGCGCATCTAACATAGAGACCTGCTGTAGAGTCTGTGAAACAGCTGTGATGGCCTCAGAAATAAAAAGCCCCACAAAAAAAAAAAACCAAAAACCCAACAAAGAGATGCAGTTTCAAACACAAGCGCCTCACCTCCTTAAGTCTGTACATGCTGCAGCCTTAAGGTCCCAGTCTGACTTTTTTTCCCCAAAATAAAACAAAGAATGGTAATCCTGATGGAATAAACACAGATGGCAGCTTGCATGTAATCTCATTCAGCTGAAGTTTTACTTCAAATTTTGTGCGGGATAAATAAATGTCAGCTGAAGGGTCATCTCTCCCCCGTTCCGGATGCTCGGGGTGGGAAGACTGCTGGAGACTTTTGGTTAATATTTGTGGCATTCCTGACCGTGGAATACTGCCTGGGAAACCAGCTTCTGTCTAGCCCTGTGGTGCCTTTTTGAAAAACAGGTTAGAAGCTTGGATGCATCGCTCGCCTGCTTCAGTAGCTAGAAAAGTAAGATTTAAATTTCCCTCATCTGGCCATTTTAAAACGATTAAAAAGATTATTTTTCTGTGCTTAGGACTATAGCTACTTGGGCCAGCCGTTGCTCTAGAGAACTATTTTAGGATCCTCTATATATAATTTAGGTTGCCGTTTCACAGACATCTGAGCTGATCTGTTGGCTTCTTGCCATCAGAAAGGCACAGTCTTTTTCTCTCCCCTTACCTCTTATCCTCCCTTTTGCCTAGTCTGCCATGATTTTTTTCTGTTCATGAGCCGATTCAGTAGCCTGATTTATTTATTTTTTTTTTTTTTTTTAAAAAGCCTCTTTTGTTTTGTTTTGACTAGTTAGCTTTCGGGTGGGTTACTGAGTTAAATTGTTAAATGGTTTAATTTTGGATGGTCCTGGCAACCGTCAAAAGGCTGACACAAAGCTCAGTGATGCAGCAGGAGATGGAGGGGGAGTTGGCTGCCCCTTTCATTCCCAGGATGCTGTTGTGTTGCCCTCCTGTTTCATTAAACTGCAGCAGCAGGGATGAGAATTTAGTATTTGCTGAGAAACCAGAGTTCTCATCTACATTCAAAATTCAGTAACACCTCTTTCTTAAACCAGGACCCTGGCATCCTAACATTTGCCTGAGGATTTTGTAACCTTTTACAACTAATTCTCGTGAACAAACTAATATGACAGGAAAAAGACAACACTACACCATCTTCAGGGTAGGCAGGGAGGAAGGGAACGGCCAGTCAGCCTGATCTTGGTCCTTAGGAAGATCATGGAGCAGTTCCTCATGAAAACTGTTTACTGGCATGTGAAGAAGAAAAATTTGAACAGCCAGCATGGATCTACCAAGAGCAAGATCATCAACTTGGATCTACCAAAAGCTTGAAAATCCTGATTGACTTTTATGATGAAATGATAGTTTTTATGGATGAAGGGAGAGGAATGGGTGATGTTCGCTTTGACTTGAGAAAGGCTATTGGTACAGTCTCGCATATTATCTTAGTAGCCAAATTAAGGAGATGTGAACTGGATGGGTGGACAACAAAGTGAGGGAAAAACTGGTTGAAGGACAGTAGTGGTCCATGGTTCAAAGTCTTCCTGGTGATGTTTCTTAAGGATCAGTACTGTAATGAGCTGGATCATAGAATCATAGAATGGTTTGGCTTGGAAAGGACCTTTAAAGGTCCTCTAATCCAACTCCCCTGCAATGAGCCAGGACATCAGCTCTCAGGAAAAAAATACCAGCAAATCTGAAAACAGACATGAGAACAACTGATAAGAGTTCTGTGTTTTAACCATGGAATTGTTTCTCTGCGTGTGTCTCTTTCCACACCAGCGTCTGGTAGACAATTGTTAAGCCACTACTGTTGCTGCAAAACTTAATCTAACCAGCTATGGTTTTGGTTCTGTTTATTAAAAAAGGAGAATTATTAGAGAAATAGTAGTAAATACCTCTGACTTTATTGCTTGCTTTTAATTAATATCTTTTTCTCTCTCAAAAGTGTTTACTAGGCAAATATCACTCCTATTGGGCAAATATGTTGGTAAAGTTTGTTGGAATAAATGTTGAGCTCTGGGACGCTGCAGTTTATCAAGCTGCTTGCTTAAGAGGTTTTACTCTCCACTAATGCAGGTGGATACACAAAAGTGGTGTAAGTCATGAGCCAAATTTCTTCCTCTTCCATTAAAAGAAATGTTCTTGCACTAAATGTTTACAATCTCCTCAAAGAAAGCTTTGCCTTCAGCAGGACTGTAGCCTGAGGATAGACAATAAAATTCAACGTAGACTATCTATTCAAGGAGGATTTATCTTCTCTCTTATGAAACCAGACTGACGACTTCCTAACAGATGCAAGGAATTCTACTCTGAAGAATTATTAGATTTCTTTGTGAGAAAAGCTTCCTTCCCCATTTTATCAGTGAGCTCTGTCTACGCGAGGGAATTCTGTTACAAATAGAACATAATTTCATTACCAGAGCAGTGCTGTCCTGGCATTTAATTCTAATTCTTTCCATTGTGACTCTACATATTGTATCTCGGCAAAACACCGTGGTTCAGGTATCGCAAGGCAAGGAGGCACCGCTGCTGTTAGGCTTCTGTGCCCTGAAAAAAAACAGCATCAAGATCATCACGTGAGTTTGCATTGAAACTGGGAAGCATTTAAAACTGAGCACTAATTCAAATGGTGCCTAACTCGGAAACTGAAGTGTACAACAGTATCTTTTGAAGACAGTTGTGGGTATTAGAGAGTTTATTGCTATTCCCTCAGGCACAAGAAACTTAAGAGGCTTTACTGAAAACTCTGCAGGAGTTCATTGTCAGAATCGTGTTCTCCTGGGCTGGGACCAGAAACACAGAGCCATTTTTCTTTTTATATTTCATTGCTGAAATCTCAGGGATAAAAAAAAC